ATTATTATTATTATTATTATTATTATTACTGTATCAACTGTACTATTCTTGAAAGAAAGTATAAGAAGAAAAAGGTTTCCCAGACAGAGGCAATATTCCACAGGGATATTCCAAAAGCCCAATACGTAATATGTAAATTCCTGAATAGTCAAAAACGTACAGACAAAAATGTGAACATATCTGATGGGGTCTGTTAATGAGGCTGCTCAGCAAACCAAAGACAAACCTACACTCCTGATGTATGCTTAAGCCTATACCAAGATATGGCAGCAACTGAGTCACAAACTTCTTCAACAGACTTAGAAAAATAGTCATGAATCATTTGACTCAAGTTGCTAACAATCAGAAATTAAACCTTACTAATAAGAACTGGAATTATTTTAATTGTTCCCTGATGCACACATTAAACATTAAAACACTTCAAGCAAAAGCTGGTATGTCTGTAAAGCCTACCTCCCCTGAGTGCTTATAATTTAAGGATATATCCTGCTTAGCAGTATTAAATTAATTTAACAAATTCATTCCCAAAACATTACATCCAAGCAGTCAGTGCACATATGTTGCCATTTTAATGTACAGTGCCTACTATACATACACCAGAAGAAATACACATTTTGCTTTTTATATATGTGAAGCAGTTTATTAACTTTTTCTACCAAACAAATGCTTTCTGGACATGCTTTTCTAAATCAAAACACATTTGAATAAAATGTTAGAAATTAATGGTTTAAAGTTTTCTTAAGTGGAATATCCTGGAAAAGCTGCTTATGAAAAAGACACATTGGTGTCACATCATTTCATCTTCTAGACAATGAGGAGAAACTACAAAAAAGGCAAACTAAATATCAGGATATGTACTGCCCTGCAGAATTATCTATATCTCTGACGAAATACGAAAAAAACAACATGTTGTATTCTGTTTTCCTAAAATTGTTATAGCTTAATCTTAGTAGCAGGCTTAAATCAAAGCCAAAGACAGAGCAGTCATATTTGTCAGAATTAATTTAATTCCAGAAAACATGAGGGTCACAGTCCTATAGTTGGCATTCTGTAAATCCTTCTCTGGCAGGCAAAAGATTGAAAAGATTCCTCCAGTAGTGTTCTATGTGGTTTGGGTAAATCTGAGGGAGATTTCTGAACATTAATCCAAGCAAAATTGCTCCAGATCCTTCATGCTCTTTGTCTTCAAACCACAAATGTTTGATTAGACTGAATTTTGAAGATTGAGACAAACAGCTCAGAACATTTTTTGGATGTGCAGTTAACCACTTCTTTGTCAATTTGGAAGTATGCTTTACATCACTGTCATGCTGGAATGTCCAATTTCGGTGAAACCTGAGCTTCTCGGCTGTAGAAACTAGGTGTTTGGCCAACATGTCCTGCTAAACGTTGGAGTTTAAGACTCCCCCTATCATAGCAGATGTTCTGGGGCCTGTTGATGCAAAACAACCCCAAAACCATCAACCTCCTAAGTAGGCATGTTATCTCAACATAAGTTTCAACCTTTTTTATGCCAAACAAAACGCTGATCATGCATTTGATCAAGATCGATTTTCATTTAATCTGACCATGATATATGATTCAAATTATGACCCCGGTGTAGTCTGGCAAATTTGAGATGATTCTTTTATGGTTCGCCTTCAGAAGAGGCTCATTTCAAGCAAAATGACACCGAATTGATGATGGAGATACTGAATTTCAGTTTTCAATACTTTGTATGCTTAAGATGCCAGTTAGTGTTGTAGATCTCCAACTGTTACGACTGCGATTTACAGTTGTCTCAGCCTGTGTTGCGAAGATAGAATTGCACCCTCATTCCTAAAACATCTTAATAATGGACACTACTGTGGAAGTGCTAGATTCAGCTTTTGTGGCACCGTTCATAGCCAGTCATAAGCTGTGAATAATTGGCTATAACATTCAGCAACTTTAGGTTAAGGTAGAATGATTTCTTGATTACCTGGCAAACTTCACGGCTCTATTAACAAAACTTACTATTTTCGCTTTCAAGATAACTGGGATAAATGTTGCAATGGAAAAAAAAATAAAATCAACCCTACAGTACAGGTTCTGATAGCGGAACAAAGCTGCTTTCCGAAAGATGAAAACTATAAAGATCGTGAAAGTACTGTAGTTTTAGTCAATACCAAATAGTCTTTTGGTCTAGATTCGAACATTTTATCTTACTTACTTCTTATTTTATCTCTGAACTTTCATCTGAAAAACTGGTTTATTTACCTGGAACAAATGTTTCAATCAAGGAATTAAAATACTAACAACTGCACATATTGCTCCAAATGAAATGCCACGCCTTCACTGCAATAACAGCTATTTATTTGCACTATTCTACAGTCAGACCAAAAATGCAAGAACACAAATGGCACACAGATGCTACTGAAAAACAAAAGCTGTCTCTGTTGAATTGACGCTTTAAGCAAGATATTTGTTTCCATCAAGCACAGGGCCTGCAGTGGAAAGACAGCTCTAGCTTGTTGGCAGAATATGGTTTCTGTTTGAGCATACAGATTTAAACAGCGTGTGTAGCGGTGAGGTAGGGGGGTGGAGACGCAGTTACTGTCTTCCCTCCCAGTAATTTCCGGTGATTAATACAGACGACAGACACCAAATCTATTGAAGCAAAGTCTTTTCATCCTTACTCTAAGTGACTGGAAGGCTAATACTGCAGAAGCCATTTCTGTAGCATTTCAAAGACAAAAGGAAGGGACTTCAAAGGCAAATGATGAGCCATTGGGTTCTGTTGTTAAAGAACTCTGAAAACCACCTGCCATTAAAGGAACAGTGTAAACTACTGCCTGTATATACAGCACTGCATGATTCACAGTCATTTCACAACATTTACTTTTCCTTAATTTCATGCATTCGGAAAAGGTTCCTCTAAAAGTAATTTTGCACAAGGCATTGCAACCATAGTTTAGGCAGTTAGCTGAAAAGTTCAAGAAAAACTTGTTAAGAAGTGGCACATATATTAAAAGAGTATATTAAAAAGTCATGTGTAAAACATTTTAATAACTCCTATGTAAATATGAAATATTCAATGTGTAAATGTGTAAAAGTATGGACATTCAGTGACTTCTACATAAAGGAATTTACCATTTCTTTAACAAAAAAAAAAGCTTTCAAGTACTCTGTTTGCAGTGGAGTTATGGGTCCCTCCAGTGGCAAAATCAGATATCTCATTATGTAAATGTCCTAGTTCTTGCTTACCGAACAGAGTGAGCTTCAGTATTCTGCTGCACTGGATGGCAAAGGAGAGGTCAGAACTGTCGAAAATGGTGATTAGATCATCGTCTGCAAGGAAACATGAGGTATAAAGACAGAAAATTAAAGAAGCGCAGTGCAATCCTTGTGGAGTCAAGCACAGTTTTTGCAGTAGTGTCAATGGACCGTGAACCACAGATTAAAAGGTTTAATGTATTGTGAGTAAGGTTACATATGAAGTCTTAATTTACCAGGAACAAACTAACCGGTTTTGCAGTTCTGGGAGTACTGAGATCAAAGATATCTCTTGTGCAAACACTGGGTGAGATTTTAAAAAACTCAGATACAGGTGTTTTTGCACCAACACTTAGCACTTGGTCGCTGCTTTGTTTTACGGACAGCCTTGTTTTTAAAAGCAGCGTCTTCATTAATAACCCTCCCGTTATTGTCATCACGCTTTTCAGGTCAACACGCGAGGCCTTACTTTGCCTCCCCAGACACAGTGCGATTTATTCGGTCAACCGGTTGTCAATGCTGCTCATTCCTATTGGAAATACAAGACCAGGTGGATCGAATAACATTTCCCTCTGCTTGGCTTTCCTCTCCCCCTGCACCCCGATTGGGTCCTGGAGATTTCTACCCCAGAGCCTCGCATGCAGCAGGACACAAACATGCCATTTAAACTCTTACAAACCACCACCCAGCTACTGTAAGCAAAGAGAACAGATTTAACATTCGCGAGTCAGCTAACGTTACTTTTTGTACAACACAACTGGATACCAAGAACAAAGGTGTACAACATCATTATTATTGAATTGACGGTTTTAGTTGTTACACAGGTGATTGGCTTTTATATACAACGGGCATACGAAAAGTATGCATGTGGCACCTAAGGAAACGAAATGAAACTGCCTGCCTCTTCCTGGAAGTTAACAGGAGCTCAACATGTGACCAGTGGTCAACGGCTCAGAAACGTCAGCAGTACCTTCGTCCTTGTATTTGATGGTGACCTCGTCACTGCTCTGCAGCTTGCCCCTGAAGACCCTCTGCATCATGAG